GGGCAGGCAGGCAGGCCGGGTGAAGGGGTATATTGGCAGCACCAGGAGGGCAGGTGAGCAGAGGCTCTGCCGTTTATCATTCAATACGCAAGATTAATACCCTAAAGCAGGGCCCTCTGCCCTCCCACAACAATGAACAAGATGTTCCCTGTACTTACTCTTCTCTGCAAAAGCAGCTGCCCTGGATACCCGGAGGGAGGGGAGAGAACAGAAAGAGAGTCATGAGAAAAAGGCCATGGACACCAGGCATCCTGCAGGTGAGGGGTCCTCTGGGGGGAGGGGGAGGACTGCTTTCTCTCAGGACACACCCAGCTCCAGGGACCACATCTCTGCATTTTCCCGATGCCCCCACCACCCATTCTCAGAGGGGGACGCCCTGTCCTTCAGCAGTTAAAACCCACAGAGGAGCTTAGCATTCAGACTCAGAGGCTGGAGAGATTTCTTTTTCCACTAAATTCATCATATTGCACTGGAGAGCTTTAGAATTTTTCAAAATGTTGCTTTCTAATTTATCTTAGTCATGTGTTCATCCCTGCAACTGATATTTATTGAATAACCTAATTCAGGCCAATGACTTCTGTTTGGGATGCTCTGAAATTCAGACACAACTTAAAACCAAAGTTATTTTTTTAATAGCTGCTCCGGAAATGGACTATTATTCAGCACTGAGAAGAAATGAGCTGTGAGGCCAGGAAAAGACGTGGAGGAACCTGAAATGCACGTGACTAAGTGACAGAAGCTGATCTGAAAAGGCTACACACTGTGTGACTCTAACTCTGACATCCTGGAAAAGACAGAACTATGGGGACAGTAAAAACATCAGTGGTGGTCAGGGTTGGGGTGAGGGGTGAACAGGTGGATCCCAGAGGGTTAAGGGCAGTGACTCTACCCTGTGTGGTACTAGAATGATGGACACAGGTCATCGCACATTTGTCCAAACCCACAGGATGCACAACACAGGGCGGCCCTGATGTACACTGTGGACTCTGGTGATGATGACATGTCAGTGCAGGCTCATCAGTGGTGACGAATGTCCCATCTTGAGGGGTGTTGATGGTGGGGAGGCTGTTCCCGGGGAGGGGGGGATTTGCCTTTATCTCAGTTTTGCTGTGAAACTAAAAATGCTCTTTAAAAATAAAGTCTTAAATAGAACCTAAACATATAACTTTTTGAAAAATTGCTCTTTGTGATGTGTTGCCATAATTATCACTATTTCAGAAATTCGTCATTTTAATCATTTAGACCAAGCCAGGGTTATCACGACCTTAGGAAGTTAATCGACCGATTCACTTACAGTTCAGAAGAAGGCCTGCCCTGATCCACACAGGCCTGCTTAAAGTGCCATTTTACCCCAGTTCCCAGGAAACGACAGGCCTCGGGTCACCCAGGCCCCCAGCAATGTCCCCACACTCAGCAAAAATAACCACGAGGCCCCTGAAGCCCTCGGCGCTAGAGCAGTAACCCACGAGCAAAGCTTACTTGAGCTGCTGGAATTCGGCAAGGGCTTCGTCGAAAGCTGGAAGGAAACATGTCAACGTTACCAATGGTTTCAATGTGCTCGGCTTTTATCCACCAGCTCAGAGGCTCCGCGGGTGAATCTGCCTCACGGAAGCTGACAGGCAGCCAAGTGAACATACTGATTCTTCAGAAATGATTTCTCCAAGTGAAAAATCACAAAGCCAGCCCGGCCAGTGTGGCTCAGCGATTGAGCGTTGACCTAGGATCCAGGAGGTCACCGGTTCGATTCCTGGTCAGGGCACACGCCCGGGTTGCAGGCTCCTTGATCCCCAGCAGGGGGCGTGCAGGAGGCACCCGATCAATGACTCTCATCACTGATGTTTCTCTCTCTCTCCCTCCCTCTCCCTTTCTCTCTCTGATATCAATAAAGACATAGTAAAAAGAAAGAAAGGAAATCACAGAGCCAGGCTGCTTCCCCCCAGCATTCTAAGGGGATCTCTACAGGCCAGATGCCTAGATGCTAAGGAACAACCATCTCACCTTGACCGGACAGGTCGAGCGAGCGCTGATGGTTGTCTTTTCCGTCAAAAATCTCAAAGGTGTATTTCCCTTTGTCTTTCTCTGTGGGCTCGCAGATCTGCAGCCAGGCCATCTCCTCGCTGCCTCCGATCCTCGTGTGCTCGCTGGACGAGATCTTAGCATCTCTTTAGAAATAAAAAGCAACAGGAACATCCTTGAATTCAAAATCTGAATGATCTGCATGACACTTGTGGGGCAAGAGACTCAGGGGTGAACTGGCCAGCGCTTCTGCCGCAACAATTTTCCTGGATATTAGTAATTTTCTTTTTCAATCCTCACCTGAGGATATTTTTTCCATTGCTTTTTAGAGAGAATGGAAGGGAGGGATGAAGGGGGAAGGAGAGAGAGAGAAACATTGATGTGAGAGGGGCACATCGATTGGTCGTCTCCTGCACGCGCCCTGGCCAGGGCCACAGATCAAAGCTGCAGCCCAGGTATGTGCCCTTGACTGGGAATCGACCCTGCGACCCTGTGGTGCACAGGACGGCACTCTACCCGCTGAGTCACACCCACTAGGGCTGAGTGCTAGTAATTTATTAACTACATCAGTAGCTCAGCTCTGAAAAGCTTCTAAAATTAAACATGATACTTAGCATTTTAAAGACAAATTGTTATTTAATCTATGCTTCTTGGTCACAATATTATAGACTTTAAAACACTCTAAACGGTATGGCATTTTTTCCTTTAAAAAATTTTTTTTTATTGCATATGATCTAGCGATTGCACTTCTGGGTATAAACCCAGAGGAACTGAAAGCAGGGCCTCAAACAGACACGTGTGCACCATGGGCACAGCGGCACCATTCACAGCAGTCAGCAGGCGGAAATGACAAAAATGTCTGTCGGTGACGGACGGACAAGCAAAACATGGTCCATCCACTCAGTGGAATGTCATTCAGCCTTAAGAAGGGAGGAGCCCAGCCTGGCTGGTGTGGCTCAGTGGTGGAGCATCAACCTAACAACCTGGAGGTCAGGGTTCGATTCCCCGTCAGGGCACATGGCTGGGTTGTGGGCTCGATCCCCAGCAGGGGGCGTGCAGGAGGCAGCTGATTGATGTTTCTCTCTCTGTCTCTCCCTTCCTCTTTCTCTCTAAAATCAATTAAAAATAAACACTGAGATGAAAGCCAGCTCTTGTCTTTCTCTCTTATGAAGACACCATGAAATTTCTCAGCAGTGGACCCTGCTGGTCTCCAGGGTCAGTACTTGGACACTGGAGGTCTGGCCCTTCGTAGATGACATATTAACTTCACCTCTGAGGACGAAACCCTCTCTCGGAAGAGCAGTTTTGCTGAGCTCCTGTTTGCTTCCAACTCACTCTGAACAGGTTCCAGCCCTCCTGTGAAGTGGCATGTTCCGCACGCCTGGGTACATTACTCAGCATCTTCACCCAGACACAGCATCCTCGCTTACGCCCGCACCTCGGAAGATTCTCATCACCCTCTGCTGAGTCCATGTCACCCGTAACACAAAGCATGCTGGCTCCGCAGTAACGTCGGCAGCTGTTGCTTCCTCAGAAATTGGTCTCTCACCCTGACCAGTGGCTCAGCGGAGGGAGCATCAGCCCTGCACTGAAGGGTCGAGGACTGAATTCCAGGTCAGGGGCACATCCCTGGGTTTCAGGTTCAATGTTCAACCCAGGGGGCGAGTGCAGGAGGCAACCAATTGATGTGCCTCTCTCACTGATGTTTCTCTCTATCTCTCTCCCCCTTCTCCCTCTCTCTCTACCTCCCTCCCATCCACTCTCTAAAGAGCAATGAAAATATATATATGTGTACATATTATTTTATTATACATATTATTAAATAATATATGTGTGTGTGTGTGTGTGTGTATATAACCTTGGGTTAGAATTAACAAGAAAAAATTGGCCTCTGACCCCGTCAGGCATTCTGTACCTGCCTCTTCCCTTTTCTCCTTCAGCCATGCTGGTCCCCGGCCCCGAGCTGAAGCTGGTCATCATTTATTGGAACTATGGGGTCCGAGAGCACAGGCACTGCCCTCATCCACGGCACAGCCAGTCCACGGCTGCAGGACTTACTTGTGATACCAGTTCACCTTCATCTCCTCGGTGAAATATTTCATGAAACACTGCAGTCTGATTCCGTCTGGGGTGCAGAGTATCTTCAGAGGAGAAGCGGACATGCCTGCGGAGAGGGAGACATGCTTGGATCTATGAACCGCAGACTTGCCACGTTGGTGGGAGCCACATCAGTGGGAGCCACGGTGGTAGCCACGTCAGTGGGGGGCCACGTTGGTGGGAGCCACGCCGGTGGGAGCCAAGTCTGCAGAAAGGGTGCTATAGGCAGGTCCTTGCCCACCAGCCACAGACGTGATCCCACATCCGCGCATTGCAGTCTGTCAGCCCCAGATCCTTCACACTTGTCCCATACCACAGTCATTCACTAAACAAGCATCTGCCACAGGAGAATTATTGGACAAACTCTGCTGAACACTGTAAGGAACACACCATTTTTTAAAAAGAATCAGCGCCTGCCCCTTAGCTCAGCCTGCGGGGGGGGG